GATTATCGAGCTCTATTTAGTAGTATTTCATGGATGGACACCAGGGAGACTCGTGATAGTATTGTTCGTACTTTATTAGTAGACAAGAGATTAGGTCGACCCGACCGCTATAAGGTGGCATCCAAGATACAGGATTTAGGAAGGTCTTATTCAGACTACATTTCTGAGGGCTTTCTATGGACTGAGGATTGCTCAAAGAGCCAAACTGGGAATCCCATTCCAGGCTCGCAGTCGCCTATGTAGTCGGGTGTGCTCCACAAATCTCCCGGCGAGGCTACTGTTGGGCAATTATATATATATATATATGAAGTAGATGTGCTAACTCATGAAATGTCAACCAAAATTTCGAAATGCGTTCTCGTTTCGAAAAGATAAATTAAGTAGTGTTGTAAAACTAATCATGATACAGCATAAATCTATAATGATCCACTTACCGCCGGGTGTCGGCTTTCGAAAGAACTGATTTTCGGCTGCATGCAAGATCTATACTCTGCAAAAAATGTCTACTTAAGTGGTATGCAATTTTCTCATTGATTTTCGATGCCCCTGAAAATTCAATTATATTTCATGGAAAACATGCATACAAATATTCACTATTTTACTTATTCGGTAGAAAATCACGTTCTCTTCCAATTTCATGCTCAAAAGAAGAGTATAATTCGGTTTTAAAAAAGTTTCTAATTATGAGATTTTTTAATACCTTTAAATGGCCGTTCATGAAACTTCATGTATCTGCATTTACGAATGTGGCCTGTAAAGTTAACAATATTGCATGCATTTCTATACGGTGTTAAGAGAAGACCATATGGGGTTCATAAAATTAAGCAGTGGATTTGAGCAATATTGTTATCTTTACAAGCCACATTCGTAAATGCAGATTCATGACGTTTCATGAACGGCCATTTGAAGGTATTAAAAAATCTCACAATTAGAAACTTTTTAAAAACCGAATTATATTCTTCTTTTGAGTATGAACTTGGAAGAGGACGTGATTCCTACCGAATAAACAAAATAATGAATATTTTTATGCATGTTTTCCATGAAATATAATTGAATTTTCAAGGGCATCGAAAATCAATGAGAAAATTGCATACCACTTAAGTAGACATTTTTTGCAGAGTATAGATCTTGTCTGCATCCGAAAATAAGTTCTTTCGAAAGCAGACACCCGGCGGTAACTGGATCATTATAGATTTATGCTGCATGATGATTAGTTTTACAACACTACTTAATTTATCTTTTCGAAACGAGAACGCATTTCGAAATTTTGGTTGACATTTCATGAGTTAGCACATCTACTGTATATATATATATATATATATATATATATATATGTATTGGAACGCCGGCATCCCAATAAATATAATTTAAAACCAAATACGTTCTTTGGGAAAAGAACGCATTTGCTTTCATATATATGTGTGAAGGGAGACGATTGTACAGAAATGTGAACTCCGCGAATCAGATGATAAATATCCGTCTGAAGGGACCTGGTGAAACGTCTGCAGCGATACTGGCGGAACGAGAGTCATCCTTATCAACACTGGATTGTTGACCGATTCGGCTCATTTACCGTTGCATACAAAAGACAGATTGACCAGGGACAACACAGCGGAATCCACGTTCACGACACCACTGCGGATTTCCCAGTACATACAATCGGATGCACATTTAACCTACAAGGATGCCCTAAAACCCGTGACTTAAAAGGCTGTCGACTGAGCGCGTAAGCCGGTTCTCCCAGGACGAATAGTCGGCCTTTCTTGATTACTTTGTATGTGCCATTTATGACGCCTATAGTTAGGTTGCATCTCAGTCGCCGTCTCGTGTCCGTTAAAGCGTGTTCCATCGTTCAGGGACCAGGCCGTGTGTGGCACGCTCAGACAGACTGTTCTCTTTTGCCGCCCAATACGCTCAGTCATACTTCTGTTGTTCTGACTAGGGTTGTTATGGCGACCAGTCGGGTAAGGGAGGAAAAATCGCGAGGGAAGTGTGGAAATCTTTTATCACCAAAAAAAGTAACTAAACGTGCAATTAACCGTCCCCGCCGGGCATTAACTAGACACACGGTGGATATCGCCGTCCGTGACGGTAGGACGGGCCTATGGAAACTTTACGCCCAAGCAGTCACAGCGTCAAAGCCTATGAACACTTATTTTTCCAAGTGTTTCGTTGTCCGATCCTTTATCGCCAAATCACACTGATCGTCTTTGGTAGCTCGGCTGAGATGCATGCAAAATATATTGATTACTGCCAAGGGAGAGCGGGCGTATGAATGAACCATAAACTACAGCCCAACCTGGTGCATTTTCTCTGACTACGAGCCTGTAGTGGCTGTGTAAATTGAAACACCCGGGTCCTATTTTATCCCTGCCTGCTTTTCCAACTCTCGTAGTTTCAAAAATGAATAAAAATCAGTCATATGTACAACTATTACGGTACCCTCTTTTGACTGTATAGTTTGTTAATTTCATCAAAAATTTCGTGAAGTTGAAAGAAACCATTTAATACAGGAATTTATTTGTCATGAATCCTATTGGTACCCTATTCCACCAAAGTTTCATTAATTAAATTATTCACAAATGAGCCGTTTTTCTGAAGTACCTTAGAGAGTATATTGCAGATAAATGTTCTCTCACTATGGTACAGTGTTCCCCACGTAAAGTAGATGTGCTAACTCATGAAATGTCAACCAAAATTTCGAAATGCGTTCTCGTTTCGAAAAGATAAATTAAGTAGTGTTGTAAAACTAATCATGATACAGCATAAATCTATAATGATCCAGTTACCGCCGGGTGTCGGCTTTCGAAAGAACTGATTTTCGGCTGCATGCAAGATCTATACTCTGCAAAAAATGTCTACTTAAGTGGTATGCAATTTTCTCATTGATTTTCGATGCCCTTGAAAATTCAATTATATTTCATGGAAAACAGCATAAAAATATTCATTCTTTTATTTATTTGGTAGAAAATCACGTCCTCTTCCAATTGTCTACTAAAAAGAAGTGTGTAAGTCAGTTTTAAAAAAAAATTTCTAATGTGAGATTTTTTAATACCTTCAAATGGCCGTTCATGAAACGTCATGAATCTGCATTTACGAATGTGGCTTGTAAAGATAACAGTATTGCTCAAATCCACTGCTTAATTTTATGAACCCCATATGGTCTTCTCTTAACACCGTAGAGAAATGCATGGTTTTCCGTACACGGAAAATATACAGCTTGTAGTTTTGAAACCCTGAATGCAAGTGTAACAGCAGGTCGGGTTCAAAATTATTCGGGTATTAGAGAAGTTTTTTAAAACCGAATTGCACTCTTCTTATCAGCATAAAATTGGAAGAGGACGTGATTTTCTACCGAATAAACGAAATAATGAATATTTTTATGCTGTTTTCCATGAAATATAATTGAATTTTCAAGGGCATCGAAAATCAATGAGAAAATTGCATGCTACTTAAGTAGTCATTTTTTGCAGAGTATAGATCTTGTCTGTATCCGAAAATAAGTTCTTTCGAAAGCCGACACCCGGCGGTAACTGGATCATTATAGATTTATGCTGCTTGACGATTAGTTTTACAACACTACTTAATTTATCTTTTCGAAACGAGAACGCATTTCGAAATTTTGGTTGACATTTCATGAGTTAGCCCATTTTCTGTAAATGTCATAATAACTGCAATTGTTGTATCATATCCGCCGTCGACAGATGGAGGTTTCAATTGTCAGTCAAAGAGCAATTTTGGGATTCTTAAAATATATGTGTACAATGGCAGCGTAGCCGAACTGGGTGGTTAGCGGTAGTAGGTACATATTGCTTTTGAAATAAGATATGAACGTACAGTCACATCATTAACTAACTCTAGCACTGTAAATCGCATATTCCCAGGAAAGACGTCGTTTCATGAATTTCAATCCATGAAAATATGGTTAATTTTGGTGCTTTCTAACGGTTGCAGCTAAACTGCGGTTTCCTGATGTCCGACCATGCGGCAAAATATAACTTAAGCAATCTCCTGTAGCCAGTGTATGGCTAAACGTCTGTTAGTGCGAGTTAGAGAGGAAAACTGGGCAAGATCCTATTTCGTAGCCGTACCTGTTAGAGATTTATGTTAGGGGTTAGGAGTTGGAGTTAGGGACTAGGAGTTGGGGTAAGGAGTTGGGATATGGGGTTAGGGATTGGGGCTGGGGTTAAGGGTTAGGCTGGGTCTTGTCTACTGTAGATACGGCTAAGAAATATGATCCGACCGACAATTGACTGAAAGCTGGGGTTGTATCTAGGACAACGCACGGAAGTTCAATCTAGATGACATGGCCTTTAGAGTTACGTAACCTACACGTCTGTCTATTACGATGTTCTTCAATGCTAACAAGAATGGCTATAATATGCATCCCAGAGGACACATAGGCAAAGTGAATGTACACAGGTCATAATGAAACATGCTTTCGAACATATCGGAACACATTTTTGCCCTTTAGTAAATTCACACACGTTTATAATTGTCGATTTGTCAGCCCAGTAAGCGCTTTAGGCCATGCTTATTGGTAACGAGGTGGCAGCCCGAACCTTGACTGGCCTGATGCGTCCAATCTCAAATAATGCCTACTGGGAGGCAAACGAATGCACGCTTCTCCTGCTTCAAGACTTTAAGCAATTTGGACTGTTGACACATGCTTAATATTTCTCACTAATTCGAAACGATGCTTTTGAACACTCTGCAATGTTAAGGGCATACTCCAAAACAAACGCACCACGCGGATACACACTGAATTAATTTCGTATTAAACAGCGGGGTTTTGTAGGCTTCTGAAATGTTCCTATATTCAACACTTCGCGGCGTCCTTCAACGAAATTCTCCCTTCAGTTATTACCAGTAGAAAATCCTAGGAAGTAGGCAAAAGCATTGAGATCCAGTGTTTATTGTGACATGTCGAAAGTAAACCAGCTTGACATTCTGTTTAAATCAAGGCATGGTAAACATGACATCCGTCATCCGATGCTCCCTTAATACGTCCTGAAAGAATTCTCGAAATCGATGAATGTCAGTATTGGCGATGTCGCCTCGGGTTTATTGGAGGGTGTTATCGTAATACGGTCAACCCTGCCGTTACCGAACATTATCTCCATTATTCGCGGTTCGGTTCCCAGGTGGCCGGTGAAGAGAACAACGTCGAACGCCATCACACCTAAAAAACAAAGGCAGAGGTTAAACCGGCTGTATGAGCATGAATATCGTCTAAAATATTATGTTGCAGTCGCTTGAATGTTGTGTACTTATTGGACGCGCTTTTCACTTCAGAGCAGGCACGTACCGGTCTTTCCAAATATGGAGATGGCAGTATAATCTCTATGGGTCGTTGTAATATTTCCAGTGGCGTTTACATGCTAAAATGTTGGAAAGGCCAAATGTTATGGCAGATGTTATACTTCTAGAATAAAATGTGGCAAATAAAAATTATTCAAATCGACTAACAATCTTTTACTTGTCGTAGATTGCAAATAATTTTAGTAACATATTGACTGGTAACCAATTCGTGACGCTCTGTTCACAAGCAGTGGCCATAGTTGAATGATATGAATGCAAATCGTATCACTTAATCGAAATCTTTATGCCGAATTTGGCAAAAATGATATTCCAATCATACATATTTGACGTAATTATTTACCCCGATATCCGAACTGGATACTAGAATGTGAACGAGAGTTTCATTTTCGAGAATTTCTTTTGCCACGATAGGCCTCGTTGTATAATTCAGTGCGTCGTCTAAAAGGGACATTTTGACACGTATTCAACTCGTAAGGTGGACGAGAAACGTGGTTAAGTCGTAAATGCAAACGGACTCAATATACACAAATAGAAAATAGAAAATTCTCTGTTTATTTAATGTGTCTGACTACTGAGCAGCCCCAAGTAAAAGGAAAATGCCTGCTGTAGGCTGCGGTCGTAATTTGAAAAATGCCCTATTGCTGGAATAGGTTGAGGGACATGTCCTTTCCACTTACAATCTGGCGTGCCTGCCTTCTTATACTGAATTCCAACTGGGTGGCGGTGGGGCATATTCGCAGATTCCACCGTAAATGATGCGGTGGATCCTTTGAGAAGACCGTATGCGACCAGCAATTTTTCAGCTTGAGAAGAAAATATCGATTGAACATTACGAAATTCACTCATGTATGACTATCACATAGAGCTGTGTTTTTCCCACTGCAATATACTACCAACTCGCCGCATCACAGACATTCTATTTGAAATGCGGTTTCATCATAAATTAACTTTTGCTAAAATTTGACAAAAAACTAGGAAATGATCTGAGTTTGTTTTGTTTAGGTAAAAATGTTGAGGATCGCAAAATGAGCTCCATTCCTTACGTTCAACGACTTCCCAGCAGTCATTTGGCGCGACACAGTGAGATCCGTTGTTCGGATTGGAAATTTCCTCGCCGTCCACGAACATACGCTATAAACAAGACTTCTGTGTTAGTTTATTGACAATAGCAAATCATTGTGCTCCTTATTTGGCAAAACGTACCTCCACATGCCCATGCAGCTGTTTCGTGAAGACGTAATCGCTGTTCTGTTTAAATTCCAAAGTACTATTGAACTCTGTAATTGTAAATTCAGTGATTAGCATTGGATGCTGATCCTTTAAATGATGCAATTTTAATGTCATATGAAGTAAGAAAAAATAGCACAATTCTACGTGTTTTTAAAATCCAAGTTTTCAAGACTTTACCTTCTCCAAAAGTGCTGCATACAACTACGAGCAATATAATTTGGCGGAACATATCCAATTGACCACGCATGCATGAGTTTTTAACCCACTATTTATAAACGTCTCAATAGCCAATCGTTGTACGCGAAACAAGGGTTGGTAAATTGCCTTGTACGTTCTAAAAATAGGACTGTGTGAAAATAATTACTGATTAAGGGTTAAATCCCAAACAATCGCATCAAATAAAATATTAAAATAGAAGATGTCTCAATAGGCAATGCAAGTCAGAATTTCCTGCATAATGGCACAGACAGGTTTGGGCACAACGGGTATAGCAAGAAGGTGTTTGTTTCAGATCTGGACATGGTAGCTTTCATCCACAAAGACCAGACTTGCGTGAAAGCCTACTGATTTTTCACACTTTGCACTTTTGTTAGGTAAATAAACAGCTAAGAGAGGCAACCTAGGCCGTGTCAAGTAAAATTGCTTCTTTATCTCATGTCCTCTTGAGGATGGAACAACTACCGTGACAGTAGTTCTGTTGCTTGACCATGTCTGATCGAGTAGCATTAAGAGTTGAAGTGCTAATAATTTTAATGATAATAATTCGTGAATCCGAAGTAGTTTATGAACCACTTGACAGAAGAAACAATGCTTTGTAGGAAAGCATGCCTCGTTCCAGAAATACCGCTCGAATACTGTAACTAATGCCGATTATCTTACATTCGAAACCTCCCCCGGACGTGGACAATGAAGGCGGCTTATTGGTAGGTCACAGAGAGCTAACAAGATGACCAGTCAAATAAGTTGGCGATGAATTTTGTGCAAATGATTTTGTATAGGGGTGCATGACGTTACAACAAACTAGGTGGAAATAATCCCTCGAGCAAGAGAACCCGTGCACGGACTGGGGGTAAAGGGAGAATGCCGTGGATGTTAGACAGTGGATGTGACAGCGTGCTTGCGGATAGTTTGAACTTGATGCAGGCAAATGAAGCATCAATCAAGCTGGCGCACAACCACCTCTGCGGACAGGTCGACATCAGGGCTGACACTGTGCTCCGCAAGTGACCTGTACAGTGAGTGGCCGATCTCATGAAATGTTCGCCAAAATTCTGAAATGCGTTTCCAATTAGGAAGGATTAATTAGGTGGGGTTGTAATACTGATTATCTTGCGGTGTAATCCTATAATATTTCGGACTCGGCAGGATGTTGGCTTTCAAATGCACGTAATTTAAATCTCCTGTAGAATTCGTGCTCGGCAAAAAATGGCTACTTACGTAGCATGCACTTTTCCCATTGATTTTCGATGGCCTTGCAAATTTAAATACATTTTATAAGAAATGTTAGCAAAAATATGCTTTCTTTCATTAGTTTGATAGGTAACCACCTCATCTTTATATTTTATACTCGAGGAAGCATTATAATTAGGTTTTGAAAAAGTTTCCTAATTCTCGAATAACTTGGAGCTTGGTTAACCGTTGCATTTGCGCTTAGTGATTGCAGTATACAAGCTTCATGCGTTCCGCTTAAGTAAAATCACATATTCTTCTATATCTTTAAAAAATTTCATATAAAGTCTATAAAATTTTGCAATGGATGCAGACTATGTTGTAAATTTCAGGAGGCGTAGTGGTAAAAGCACAGGTATGATGCTGTATGAATAGCCATCTCAAGGTCTTAAAAATTCTCATAATTAGAAACTCTTTTAAAACCTAATTATAATGCTTCCTCGAGTATAAAATATAAAGATGAGGTGGTTCCCTATCAAACTAATGAAAGAAAGCATATTTTTGTTAACATTTCTTATAAAATGTGTTTAAATTTGCAAGGTCATCGAAAATCAATGGGAAAAGTGCATGCTACGTAAGTTGCCATTTTTTGCCGAGCACGACTTCTACAGGAGATTTAAATTACGTGCATTTGAAAGCCGACATCCTGCCGAGTCCGAAATATTATAGGATTACACCGCAAGATAATCAGTATTACAACCCCACCTAATTAATCCTTCCTAATTGGAAACGCATTTCAGAATTTTGGCGAACATTTCATGAGATCGGTCACTCACTGTACTGTCCACAATAGCTAAATCGCATTGCAGCCGACCTGCTAGACTCCAGATTAATGACCTCCAGACCAGACATGAGTTACAGTGCACAAAAACGGGGAGCCAAACGAACATTATTCTTTTCAATTTTGACAGGCCGGCCATGGCTGGGGGAGTTTGTTTTAAGCTGACTGGGCATGTCAGAAATACAAATTCCAATAAGCGGCAGAATCAAATGACTACTTGCCCTCCTCCGACAAATATTCAATTGACCTGCTGAATACAGACTATTTATGCACTTGGATTGCTTTGTCAGTAATTTAATAGCGGAGTTAATCACCCTGCTGATGTTAACTGACTAACGATTATAGACACATTTTGCCGTAAAAAAAGGCATTGAAGAGCCATCAGCGATGGCCACACCATACAATGACCATAATAAAACACGCTCTTTTATTAATCATCCAGGGTAATTAAAAGTAAATTTTCAAGCATATTTTAGGACAAGCAGACAAACTATGTGCAGCATTCTATTCATGTTTAGAGAATACGCAGTGTTATTTTAAAAAAGATTAGCGACAGTAAAAACACTCTTTTGTTCGAAAAGAAAAAAAATCAGGGTGATTTGACTAGTTTTAAGGGAGAAAAAACTTTCGCTCATGAAAGGTCAAACACGCGAGTCGGACAAAACCGGCCTGCATGTTTTAGTGAACGACTGACTCGAAACGGACACCTACAAGGCCGAATTCCTAAACGAATTAACAATATCCGCATCAAAGTGGCGAGACGAAAGGGGCCCAGACGCTATCAATCACAGTCCGCTTAGAGTCCAGCCGAGAAGGGGACGTCAAAGGCTGAGGTCTATAGAAGCGAACAGGAGAGTTCCAGGAAGCAGTTCGTAAGAAGAAGAAGATGCGATTACTGGAATAAGAAGTTTATTGACCTGGCGTTTCGGATCACCACTTGAACTAATAATCAGGGAGGGTAGCAAATAAAGGTCAACCGTCTGCACCCGTTTCTGATGACGGGTTCGAGTGTGAATCCGAGACGCCAGGTCAGTAAACTTCTTGTTCCAATGATCTTGTTTTCTTTCTTCCAATTTCTGAGGCATTCATAGGAGCGTAATGGGAGATGCAACACTGAGACCTCTTTTCTGACTCACCTAACCACTAGCAGGTGGCGAAAAAAGATGATTTAGCCAAAATGTTCAATAGACCGCCTGGCATCGAAATAAAGATATGGCATCAATGACCGCGAAATCGCCGATTAGGAGATGAGATCACGTAATCTCAGAGGCTAGAATGGATTCCTGAAAGGGGTTGGCGATCAGCAAAAAGTAGGCTGCTTAAAGCCTGCACGTCAAACCGTTCCCCCCACTACATATTTGAGGGGATTTATCAGGTAGGAAATCGCGTACTGAAAGATCGAAAAATTCGAATTTTCTCATGAGAGATCGTAGAAAACAAAACCACACACAGAGAGAAGGGAATATTAGCGGATGCGGTAATTTGGCGGCGGAGTCCTCAATCCCCGACTGCCCTTTCTATATGTCATGCAGAAACTTGTCCGGAAAAGATGGGGAAATTAGAAGTCTCGTCGAGTCAGTATTCAGATAAAGGCGCAGCCTTCTCTTATAGGTATGCAGATTATCTGATGATCTTGCATCTACTGGAAGGTTATTTCAAAGGGAAGTATACCTGGAAGCGAAGAAAAAGGAGTGCTTATAGGTAAAGGACGCGGGAGGAGGCATAATAAAGGAGGAATTACGAAGATTTTATGGGCAAATAACAGGTGTAGGGGCTGAAATCTAAGGAAGATTTGAACTATCATCGATGCAAAAGAGAAGACAGAAGTCTGCTCCTAGGCATCGAACACACGTAAAGTTTGGGTTAGTCAGCTGGCATTTATCCGAGCAGAAATATTTTGATGAGCCGTGCTTAACTGTCTTCTAGTAAAACGTCTTCGAGACCAAGAGAAGATCTTTAGGCTGCTTCCGTAACTTTTTTAAGAGAGTTTTGTACAGCAAAAGAAGTGGCACGCGATTCAGACGTTCTTAGTGAAATGAGATCGAGAAAAAATTCAGATCATTGTTTGAAGAATAATGTGCCATTTGAGAGTGCTTATAAATTAGATGTGCTAACTCACGAAGTGGTAACAAAAATTCTGAAATGCGTCTCCGACCCGAAAAGATTACTTAAGTAGGGTTGCATTATTGGTCAACATGCAGAATAATGCCATAATATTTCCTCCATTTCAGGATGTCGGCTCTCGCCCGAGCTTTGTTTCAGCGCCTGCGAAAAGTCACCCTGAAAAATGACCATATAATATAAATTTTCTCATTGATTTTCGATGCTCTTATAAATTTCTAAATATTTTATTGGAAACATGCACAAAATATTAATATTAATTTCATGTTGTAGAAAACTGTTTTCTTCAAATTTTCTACCCAAAGGTAGGGTATAATTCGGCTTTAAACAACTATCCTAATTCCCGAATAATTCGGATCACGACCTGCGCATGCAGTTTGCTTTCAGGGTATCCAAATTATAAGCTGTATATTTTCCGTGTATGAAAAACCATGCAGTGGTCTACGGTATTAAGAGGATGCCATAAAATTTAGCAGTGGATATGAAATAGTAAATGTAGAGGCACGATGTTCTATTAGCCGGCATTTAGTCCTCTTAAAAATCGCATAATCGGAAACCTTTTTAAAACCAAATTTTACCCTTCTTTCGAATATAAAATTTTAAGCGGACGTATTTTTCTACCAAATATATGAAAGGGTGAATGTCTTTACGCATGTTTTCCATGAACTATGTTTGAATTTATAAGGAAATCGGAAATCAATGAGATAATTGTATATTAAATAAGTAGTCATTTCTTACACAGTTTAGTTTCTGCAGGAGGGCGAAAAGAAATACGTTCAAATGCCGCCTCTTGAAGTATCTGACATATTCTGATATTGTGCTGTATGGTGACTGCTGCGTATCCTGCCCGGGCAGTCAGGACATCATGCCATAAACGC